AAACATCTATTTTCCTGGCAAGAAAAAATCAGCCCTGAGTACCAGTTAGTGGTAAGTGATCTAGGTGGATCTAGTGCAGAGCTTAGAGATGCTAGTAATAACCATCAACTTTTGTCAGATCCGGTTTCCCAGCTAACAAATTTATGGGGTAAAAACGATAACTTGAAAACACGGTACGCCCGGAAAATCACTGTATTGGCCCAATTTACATGCAGTCATCTCAACAATTCTTAAAGAATAATTCATATTTGTTTACCATGACTTTCTGGTGTTGTTCATCGTATTTCTTCTCCAACAACTCGAACACATCTTCGTTTTGTTGCATTTCTTCACGTATCTTCTTAATCTCTTTGTTCTTCTCCGCCAATTCCTAGATATTACTTTTTCGCTATTTGTTTGATAAGAAAGTACTTCTACAGAAGGTTGGAAAAAAAGTGGAAGGAAGCCTCTGATGCATGTCCATGCCTCTTTTAGCAATCGACGGGTTTCTTCGGCTCCTTGCTCCAATTCATCAACTTTTTCACGCAACAAGTCGCAGCTCTGAAATAACCGTCTAACATCGGAAAAAATTGATTTCCTTACAAATAAAACAAAGAAAAGGTGAAGAAAGCGATCGCGGATAACTCCCCGTGAAACTGAAGCCATAACTCAATAACCACTATGAGGGAAGTTTTCGGCATTTACGCTTTCCCTCTACGAAGTAAAATAAAAGCCGTTAAGATTCAGAAAATTGAACTTACGGTAGATAGCTTCAAATTCTGATCATGCAGTTTATCCTTGTCCATTTGCAGTTGCTCGTTAAGCAGCTCGAGCTCTCGTATTCGTTCCTTATGTCTCTCCTGAAGATAACGGAATCGGAAGCGACATGAAAAGTCGATCATGACTACTCTGCCATACCTTGGGTATGAGTGGACGAACGAGAGCAAATATGCGGAACCACGACCACTCGGTTAATTCGATAAAGGTGCGAACGTTATTTTGTATTGTACAAATAGCCATACTAGAAAGGAATAAATGAAAGAAATGAAGATGAAAAAGAGGAAACGAATAATCTACCACGAGTTAACGCGCAGTGGGAAAGAGCACCGTCTCATACAAATTTTACGGCTGTTTGACAGTCTCAAAACATTTGGTGATTTCAATGGTATATTCAAAAAACAATTTTAATGACGAGTTTTAACCTAAACCATCGCCATATATTCAGGGGTATGCATGAGAAATGTTTTAGAATTAAAAGAAAATCCAACTCACCTTCTCTTTCTCCTGGTGTGACAATCTCTCTGCATATATATCGAGCGGATACGAGCTTGTAATGAAGTGATAACCATGCTGATGTAGTCACGTCTCTTTGCTTCAAGCTGAAATAAACCGTAATCTTGACCATTTTATTTACTGCCCTTTTCTTCTTAATGGCAGGGTATGTTGCGAAATATAACTCGTACGAAATGCTGAGATAATTGCAAAACTCCGGACCGCATACACCTGCGGTCCGGAGTTTTGCAAATATCTCAGCATTTCATATAAACCGTACTATTTGAACGAGTTTTCTTTTTAACGGCTTAAGGCCATTTTTTTCAAAGATTGTTTAAGTGATATTGTTCACATGAGCGTATCATTTTTTTCTACTGAGAACTCCTTAATCTATTACTGAGAACGGTACGGATCCCTCTCATATGAGAGATCTTGAGCCAGGTAGTCGCGAGGCTACGTGGCCCGTCCCTAAGTGGCGGACAGGGGATTAATCGCAGACCAAAAGCGATCTTTGCTTCCTTGAGACGCAGGAGGATCCAAGGTATGGACTCCCTGTTTTTTCCGCCCCGATTTGGCACATACTTTCTGTATTTACGAGACGTATTCATGCACGCGTGTTTGGGTGCGTTCCAGTTTATGCAATTTATATTCTACTAGTCAATTCGGCCAAAAGCCTGTAATCAAGTGACAAGGAATTATATGGGAGGCGCAAGGAGTCGCCTCCAACAAATAAACTCCATGTTCACTCTGGGCGAGCCTGGCAAGCTACCCGTGAGTATAGCCAGCCCCCACGTTCAGAGCCCAGCAAGCTATACCTGGGTATCAAAAGCTAAAAACAGTAAAAGAAAGGGGTCTCACTCTCTTGACCACGAAATATCTCCAATTCGGCAGCGTTGGGTAGGACGAGTACGAAAAGAGTGCTAAAATCTCAGTACCATTCTATGTTGCCTAAACCGCAAAGAACTGAGGTGACAATATGTATCTACAATGCACGCACACTTGCAACCGAGTCCTCCATAGAACAGCTGATCATGAAAGCAAGAAGTGTGTGCGACGCCATCGGCTCGGCCGAGACGACCCACCCATTCAACGCGGTCCGTAACACCGGAGGAGAACCGTTCTTCGGAACATACCACAATTGTAGAGTCGGTGGAGTCAGTGTTCTCGTCAACACGTGCTTGTCTATGAACATCACTCATTCGAACAACTAACGACCTGAATCGGATGTTTACGATTGAAGAGATGTGGCTTAATACTGGCTTTGATAATCATCGTCGTTTACAAGTCAACACCAAACTATTACGAGGAAGGAGTCGAAGCATTCTATATGGAATTAGAGAAGTTCTACAGAGAAGATCATACATTCTTCGAGGTTATCATTGGAGGTTTTAACGCTACGATTGGACGAAGAAGAACGTCACCATGGATTAGAATGGAACGAGCAGGGTGAGCGGCTGTCTGAGTTTATCATGGCGACCAAGACCATCCATGGTAACTCGCAATTCCGGAAGCCCCACCCTCAACGCTGGACGTGGGAGTCTCCTAATGGAACCATAACGAAATAGACCACATCGTAGCAAATAGCAGGTTTTGCCTAACCGATGTCGCTATTGTCCCAAAATTCTACACGGGATCAGAGCACCGTATACTTCGCGTAAGATTCTATTTCTCGCGGAAAGGAGGAAAAGCCGCTAAATTTAAAAACGAAGTTCTAGGACCACCCTGAACTGGGCTTTATTCAATTCGTTAATCGCCTGCTGGAAAGATGCCGTTGCCGATAGCATCGACGAAGAATACGATGGGCTCATTCAACATCTTCACATTAGTGCTATGAAAGCTGAGAGTTCGAAAGTCACCGAGAGACGTCTGCCTCCGGAAGCACTCCAGCCGATACATCAGCGCGGAATCGCAAAACTTGCAAGCAATCGCCAACTCACGTCCGAACTTTTAAAACAGTGAAGACGGGCGATAAGAGGAGATCTTAAACAGAAAAGAGTAGCAGTTATGGTTCAAGCTTCAGAGGTTGAGAAAAGCATTTGGAACACCCACCGAAACTTCATCAATTACTAAACCAGGATGATTGCACTCTGACACCCAGACGGATCAGTTACAGCGTCCAGAAAGGCATTGGAGAAAATGATCCTCGATTACTACTCAGATGTCTTGTCGGCAATCCTCGTAAACACAATGGCTTGGCTCCTCACACGTTAACTGTCTGAATGCAAGGTACCTACTCAATGGAAGGCGAGCAATATCGTGCTATTATTCAAGAAGGGTAACCTTTACGATATCGGCAACTAACCCCCAATCTGCTTGCACTCTGCCGTCTACAAACTCTTCACTTGAGCTATCCCAAACAGTAAAGACAGAACACTGGACGAAGGGCAGCCGCTGTAGCAAGCAGGGTTTCGAAAAGGAATTAGTACGATGGACCACATCCTTATAATAACAAGACTTACTAAAGTATCGCGAGTGTACAAAAGACCGCTCTGTCTCGTTTTTAACGATTTAAAAAAGGCCTTTGACTAAACTGAGACACAAGCACCCTTGATAGTCAGAGATGCCATACTCAGCATATTCTTCATGAACTATACAAAAATTTCACAACCAAGATATCACCATTCTACAACGATATTAACATCGACGTCAAAAGAGGAGTTAGACAAGGCGATACGATCTCGCCAAAATTATTTACCGCCACCCTCTAAAACGTCATGCGAACATTGAATGGGACAACATGGAAGTGAAATTCGATGCTCCGCAATTACGCCATCTTCGCTTTGCTGCTGATATCTCCCTTATAGCACCAAACATTAGCCAAGCGAAACGTATGCTAACCAACTTTGATAAAGCCTGTGGAAAGATTGGTCTTCGACTAATTCTCACAAAAACTGTGTTTATGAGGAACGGATTGGTTTCGTATGGCCCATTCACGCTCAACGGAACGAATATCTCCGAGTGCACCAGTTATGTCAACCTAGCTCTTCCTGCCTTAAGGTATGCGTCAGAAACCTCGCCGCTGCGTGAGCAGAATGAAAGATCACTCAACGTTATGGAACGCGCAGTCGAAAGGACGATGCTAGGAGTATCCTGGGACACAAGCAAGGGAAGGGCTACGAAGCTCCTCCGGCCTGCGTCAACCATCAAAAATCAAAGATGCTGTTCTGTACGCAAACTGTCGAAGATAAGAGGGACCGGACACATAATGCATATGAACGACAGCCGATGGACAGCAGTCGTTAGTGCCTAGATTCCTCGAGATGTCAAACGTACTGCAGGAATACCGCCAACCCGACGGTTAGAGTTCTTCACAAAGAGCCTAGAAGAAAGATATGATGATCAACGAGTCCTTGGAGTGGACAGAACCCAATGGCCCACTCTTGCACGCCAGAAGGAAAAGTGGAAAATTTATTAGCGCCCACTCGAGTCACTCGAAACCCAACGGCACTACAGATAATACGTGATACAGGAGGCAGGTAAAGGATCTCAAAACGAAGGTTGGTCATGATGCTACGAGACACATCGTCAGGTAGCCGATCATAGTTAAGGCTTAACCATATGCGACCCTGTATTTGCTTTGAAAAACAGTTGAATTGAACAGGTAAATTTCAGGAAACTTGCGAAACTATAGTCTTATATTTGTTCATCTAATTATTTCTGTTTTTGTGTTAGCACTTTTTTTTATCTTCTTAGTGTTTTTCGTTACGACTGACCATATATATGTCTTCTTTAGTAGGAGTTTCCGCCTTTCAAAAATTGTGTGGTAAACCAGGCAGAATTTCCGAGTGGATGGTATTTCCGTGGTTGGCCGGGCACTTCTTCTCAAGATAGTCCTGCAGGAGTCACTGCTTGTGGTGTACCAAAAAAAATCTGTCATATTCCATTTACGCTTTCTATAGGCTGACAGGAGAGGCGTGTGCAGCGCAATGTTCGGAGACGCCCTGCTATACACATGGGATCTATCCTGCACCTCAAGTTCATCAAGCCCTTCTCTCTCCGGTTTCAGCAAATTGCTACCAGACTAATCTGGAGAAATAGCAGCACTGGTTCAATGCGTCGGTAGGCACAACGACTCATGGTAAAGGCAAGTTATCTATTCAAGCACTTCCAAACCATGTTTAGTCGAATGCATGGCACATCTCTTAGGGATTGATCAACGTCGATGACTTTATCCATTTTATCCTCATAGATGACAGAAAGTCTTAACATAGACTGATTCCTAGATGTGCTTCCACATGGAAGTATAGGACTTATCAGTTCAGTTAGCCATGTTGAGGAGATGACTGTGCTGTTATGCAAAATGGTTCGACACGATAGAAGGTTGATTTCGCATAGTGAAGAAGTATGCCATCGCTCGATATTAATTTTTTAATATTAGGAACTTTCGACTCACTTCCGATATAACACCAATTTTACAGAAAATTTTTGTCTTGCCAATCTCATAACGCGACTCAGCAATAGCAGCCGATGCACAGATCTCAGCTGCACCACTACCTGCAAGATCAAAAATCGAGATTTCATGGAGAACTTTGGCTTTCAACATTCGCAACTTTTAGCTTTTTTACTTAGCACTTGGAACCTATGCAAGCATGGTTTCATAATAATCTGCAGTTCAAAATTTGTTTTTGGAGATATCAATCCACTTTTTGATAGCTTGGCGATGAATAAAGTATGACCAAAGTACCTGTTTTGGGTGCTCCTTTAACGAGCATATTATATCTTGTAACGAAGTCTGCGAACAGGAGACGAGATGGATAGCCTGCACGACAAATTCGAATTCCTTCTAAGACACCGTTGCATCTAAATGGATAATCCTACTAAACAACGTTAAGATGAAAATCAAAATTAAACTGCAGTTAAGAATTAAGAAAATGTTAAGAATAATGCAATAGTTTAATCTATACATATTTACACTGGAATTTGTTCACTTTGCGAATATATTTAGTTCTGGAAATAACTAAATGGGTAACATAAACATAAACGCATATGTATTCTTTCTTTGATGAGCTTTCACAAGGTTGGTAAATAGATTTATTCCGGCCAATGTTTCGAAGGTCGCATGTGGCGCAGTGGTTGATGGCGCCACTACGACACACACGTGGAATCGATCCCAGCGCTCATGGCCCACCAAGCCTTCCACTCTTCCGGGGTAGGCAAATTTGTACCAGATTTGTCTGGGAGGATAGCAGCATTAGCTCGATACATCGGTAGGCCACCACGAGTCATTGTAAAGGCCAGATATGCATTTAATCACTTCCAACGATACTTGATGAAGTCGTGTGCATGGCGCATCCCTCATGGATTGATCAACGCCGAGAGCTTTTTAGCTTTTAACATTTTAACATCGCCAGTTCTGATGAAGACGAAGACGTCAAAACGTTAGCTGAAATAAATCTATTTGCCAACCTCGTATAAGCTTATCGAAGACAGAATACATATTGGTTAGACATACCGAGGTTGAAGGAAACTCGGTTTGAAATGAACGCTTAACTTTAAAATTCGTGAATTGAACGACTTGTGCCTCATTTTTGAATCAAATTTATTCTTGTTAATTTATGGCATAAACATTAATGAAAAACTGACCTTAGTTGATTTATCACTAATGGCCCATCGACTTTGTTCGGTACCCGTTCATAGTTTGGTACTACACATCGAATAAAATGAGCAGATGTGGATGACAACATCTCCAGAAGACTGAGAAGTTGATTCTAAAGACTCTGCATGGATCGATAGGTGGAAATGAAAGAAAGATTTGCGAAAAGGCGGTCTAAATATTCAGCAGAGTAGGAGATTTCTATGCGAACGAGAACACAGAAAATACAGGTACTGATTAGCTAGGTAGGTATATAGACAACTCCAAATCGATTGATTCATGTCTCTAACGAGTGTATTCGACACGGATTTGTGCCTGAGATAATAATAACGTTAAAAGAGCAATATGCTCAATGCGAAAGTTATTACATTCAATAGAAGTCGATAATAATTCATAAATTGAGTGGAGTTCACGAACCTTATAGATGAACGTCACTGTTGACTGGCATAATGTTCCCCGTCGTGATCTTGTCACATCCGTAGACACTAAAATTTGAAAACTTAACGGAATTAATTGATTTCATTACCATTAGTGTTTCAATCTTCTACAGCAGCGGATAGCACAATGGTAGTGTTAGTCATCACGAGCATGTTGCTAGTTCGACTCTCCCCGGGCCAACCAAGCCTGAGATTCCTCTGGGGTGGGAAAATTGGTACCGGACTTGACCTGGAAAAGTCACTCTCCGCAATCCATTTGGGAACGTTCCAACTCGGCTATCTCAGGACTCCGGGGAGAATCGACTTGGCCAGCATTCTACGACATTCAGGATGAAATGAGAATCCTCAGGCAGTAGCTGAAGCCACGCATGAAAGTGATCATCTTCGTGGATAATGGATGTGGAGAAACGAGTAGAATATGAGTAGTGCTGGGATCCGCATAGTAGACGTGAAGGCGGTTTATATAAAATAAAATAAAATGAAACAAAAAACACTTTACAGCACGGGACTTCGCTAAACTACAACAATATGTAAATATTTAAGTAATCTCCACTTTCAAAAACATATCCACTGTTTTCCAGATCCCAGTAGCTCGGAAGAGTTTACCAGCCTAAGAAAGCAACAGTGAGTATCGTCCATCACTGGCATCCTAAAGTGCCAGTCACAAATCGATGGCCAGCTGACTGACGCTAAGTAATCAACACTCAATGATCGTTGAACTTCGTTGCTACAGGATGCCTAAATTCCAAGTAATCTATGAGGTGGAAAAGACAGCGATGGGCGGGCAACACCACTAGGATTGACTGATCTCCTATCAAAGCTCATTCTCAATTAGATAGATCCTGCGGTACGTACGCGGTCCTGAATTTGCCTGTTCATACTCAACGCCCGAGATGCATGGGATAACGAGTGATGTTAAAATAATGGCCACTCACTCTCTGAACTCATAATAAACCATATTAGTTGACATAAGAGCCATTGGAAGCTATACATGTTTACCTATGAGATAGAAGTCATCTCAACCTACTGTAGGAAGAACTCACTTTTTGGAAGCCATGTAAATTTTTTCCTCGAGGCACGTATTTCGAACATGAAAGGGGTGGAACAAGCAGGGTTTCAGTCAGAAGAACACGACAGTGTTCTCCAAGGTAACGTTTATGTTTACACTACCGCTCTTGGATTGATGGATTTTTGAAAGCTTAAGTTATATTTTCAAATTTTTCACGATATTAGTTCGAAATACATTTAAAATTAATAGATACTGTGTAATTACTACATTTAGGATAAACGCAACGAACGCGCTATTATCCTTTCCGGGGAGTAACGCGTTCACCACCACACCATGCGGGTCCTTCGTTTCAGCAGCTTAACTGGGTTCTAT